CGCCGGCTAAGCACCGCCTCCTGGGCGAGCCTCCGGGCGTCTTTTTTCGCGCGCACAGAAATCGCGCGCGCGCGCGCAAAGCTGTGTTTTTTTTTCCTCCCCGCCCACCTTCCGCGGGCGTGCCGACGATGCCGCTGCCGCGGCGTTGCTGGCCCGCTTCCCGGCCAAAGATCGCGGGGGAGCCGGAGGGAGGAAGAAGAAAGGGGAGACGAGGAATCGAGCCGCAGGAGAGCGGGGAGAGAAGCCAAAGAGGGCAGAGCCTGGGGCGTGGTGAGACAGACGGAGGAGGCAGAAGGCTGTGATGTCAGGGCATCTTCCCACCCCCCACCCCCCCAGGGAATGGCTCCAGAAACGGGAAAAATAATAATAATTTTGTGTTTTGTACGGGCTACCCCACCCGTCTCAGGAGCTTTCTTACCACCGCCTAAAACAGATGAGGGCATGGGGAGGAGCCCACCGAGGGACTCGGGAGCCCCAGCCTGCCCTTTCCCAGGGTTCAACAGCAGATGGTTGCCCGGACTGGGCAGCACTCCACCGTCTGGAAAAAGATTGGTCCTAAGTCTCTTCGTGCCCTTTCCTCTGTGGTCTCCTGCACCTGGAAACCAGAGCCAGGTCACCGCCACCCCCAACCCACACGCCTCTCCTTGACTCCAGTCTTTCTTCCCTCTCCCTGAGAACTTCGAGCCCCCTGCCAGCCTGCAGGGCACACTCTCAGCCAGTCCCCCTTGCCTATCCAGCCCTCCTCCAAATGAAGTCACTGTTACCAGTTTCTGGGGGGAAAAAAAGCCTTTCAGAAATATCCCTTGCACTACTTTTCTTGCTCAAGATGTCCAGAGTGAGTTTCAATGGCCTGGATTGAACTTAAAGGACTTGGGTGTTACCCAGAGGGTGTTACCCTACCCAGCAGGACTACATGCCTATTGACCAAGAAGGTCAAAATGATTTGTATTTAACTTGATCTAGCCAAAGTATAGCCTGGACGGTATAAACTGACACTGGGTAGAGGGAACTGGTTAGTCAGGGAATCTGAGGTAGTAAGCAGAGCCAGAGTTGAGGCTCAGCCCACCCACAGCAAGCCATCATCTGTACGTCTCACCTGCTTTGTTTTCAGGGGCTCCTTAATTTCTGGCCACCTCCCTGTTCACAATTCCTCGATCCCTACAGCCCCTTGTATTTGGATACCCCCACCTTACCACTCTCACGGTTTCATCTACAAAGTTTGGACCACCAGCCTGAGGCTGGATTCCGGCATTCAGATTTGCCATGCACTGTCCTAAGCATCCTGCGCGTTCCCACTGAGGTTTGAGACCTGCCCGAAAGGAATCTCAGTCTCCACTGCCTTTCTCCCCCAGTTTTGTTTTTTGGTGTTTTTCTTTGTTTGTTTTGTTTTGTTTGGTGGTGGTGGTGTTTTTCAAGAAGACAGGGTTTCTCTGTAGCTTTGGAGGCTGTCCTGGAACTTGCTCTGTAAACCAAGCTGGTATTGAACTCACAGAGATCCGCCTGCCACCATTGCTTGCTCTTTCTCCCCTTCTTCACTCAACTTTCAAGTCCTGACCGGTACACTTCCTGCTAATAAACCGATGGCGAGTTTAGCAGTGAGTTCTGTGCTTCCTTGATTTGCCGTGTATTAAAGCAAAGCAAAAACAAAAAGAGCAGGGCTCTTGATGTAGCTCCATTGACAGGGGTGCTTTCCTACCTAGTACAGTAATCCTAGCCCTGGGTTCAAGGATTAGCACTGTGTAAGCAGATGGAACACAGCTGCAATTGCAATACCACCAGGGACAGAAGCAGCAGGAACAGAAAGTGGGGTCAGTATTGGCTATACAGTGCAAGCCCTGCCTGAGATAAAAGGAGATCTCAAAGAAATAAATGAGATAAATAAGAGCAATCACACTGTCTACTTATGTTGTGGGGTATTCACCAGAGAAGACTGCTCAGATGTGGATTTAAGCAAATAGAAAGTCTTTATTGGCCTGCCAGTGACTATCCTGGGTGTTCAGAATCCCAGTATATACCCAAACTTTCTCAGAGTTGACATACATCAGATAACAGAACAGTTAGCCAGAAGCAGAACTACCAAAGCCAAAAACCAAGGTTAGTACATTTAGAGACTTTCCCAGAACTATGGACTTTGATGGATTGGGTCTTTGTTTTAGTTTTGGTGGGTGGTGCTATGTGCCTGAATGGTGCTTTCATCATGAAGTCAGTTGGACTAAGGTCTTGAGACCTACAAAGTTCTGGTCCCCTGTTATATTTACAAGGCCCATACCTCTATGTCAGTGAAGAATTGAGAGCATGCCAGGAGCAAAACAGCATGAAACTGGCTGTGGCTATTTAAACATGTACCCTGCCCATGTAGCCTGCATCCACTGGGAGGGCACCTCTCCTCCTGTATAACCTACTGTCAAGACTAAGCTTAAGTCATTACTTCCATGGGAAGCAATGCATAAAACCCAACTTGACTCTTCCACTTGTGAGATATTTTCGGTGTGCCCCCCCCCCAAGATTTTAGAAGACAGGCACCGTGTCATTCTCTCCTCTACAGCCACAACTCAAGGCCCAACACAATCCAGGTTATAGACCAGTCTTCTGAAAGAACGTTTGAAGTCACCTCCATTCTTAAAATCCCACAAAGCAGCCAATGAGAAAGGGTAGAGTTAAAATTGAACCAAATATAAAGCAGACTGAAATAGTTTTTTTTTTTAAAATTGACTAAAATAATGTCTTTGAGCATGGCAATATCTTTAATAATGAACCAATGTGAAGTGTACAGCCTGGAAGTTTATTTATTTTGAATTGCATAGGTTAGACAGTTACCTCAGATTCAAATGGTGTGAGCAGGGCTCACAGCAATCCTCTATGGAGAACACCGATGTTATCAGTTCCTTGAAGAATACACCCAGAAGTATTTTCTACCATACAAAATTGGAAGCAGGTGTGATAGCATAAGCCTATAACCCCAGCACTCAGGGAGCTGAGGCAGGTTGGTGGCTAGTGCCAGGCCAACCTGGGATACATGGTGAGAATTTATCATCTTTAAAAATCAGCTTTTTAAAAAGAGAGGGGTATATAAAATTTACAATTTCATCGTAATTGTGCCTGGGACATGAGCTAACACAATAAACTCTTATTAGCGATGAACCAATAGAGTCCTAATCAAATTGAGTTCTTCAAAGCCATTGTGGACAGAACCAGTGTGTGGTTGCTATGAAGGGTTCTTGCCCTCTGTGAGAATCCGGAGCTGAACTGGACCCTGCCCGGGATGAGTCATGATTCTGAGAAAGGCTCATTAGGAAGTGGTCACAGAAACACTTCTTTCCCCTTGGTGGTTTCATGCTATGCTATTTCTGAGAGTACATTTGATACAGAAAACAGATTTCAGAGTACAAGAATTAAAGAAAAAGCAGAACCAAAAGCTTCAGGCAGGCCCTTCAACTAGGCTCAATACTCTGCAGTTCCCTTGCTGGCCTGCAGGATGAACCATGTTCTGGGAATCCCTCCCAATGGGGGGGTGGGATTAACTGTGGAAAGCCCTTGGAAAAAGGACCAAGGTGAGGAAGACCCAGTCTCCTGGATGTGGCCACACTCTTCTCAGATGAGTGGAAGAGGGAGACAGGAAAGAGCCGAGTGGTGAGGTTAAGATGTGATCTCAAAAATAAGTCCTATTCTTCCCTCTCCCAGGTTGTAATCCCCCTTGTGTCTTTTTTCTGTTTTGGTTTTTTGAGACAGGGTTTCTCTGTGGCTTTGGAGGCTGTCCTGGAACTAGCTCTTGTAGACCAGGCTGGTCTCGAACTCACAGAGATCCACCTGCCTCTGCCGCCCTTGAGTGCTGGGACTAAAGGTGTGCGCCACCACCGCCTGGTCCCTTATATCCTTTCTAGAAATGAACTCAAGGGACAAACTGATGAGGAAAAGTGAGCCTGCCCACCACTCTCAGAATCTGACAGTCTTAATGGTGCCGCAGCCACTGGCTTCTGAAGAGGACCCGGTAAACAATCTTCATCACTGGTATATTTTCTTGGAAGAAGTGCACATGGTGTAGTCCGTGTGGGGAAGACGCTTTCCTACCAGCAGGACAACTCCATCCTTTTTCACCTGCTCTACCATCTATGCCATCGGGGAACTGTCAGTCCAGATTTAAAGTCTTCCTGAGGCTCACAAATACTCTGTTTGGATGTTTATCATTATCTCCCATGGGAACTCTGACTTGACACAAATTTTGTGAAATTTGCTTGTGAGAGACCTGCCGGGGTGCCAGAGTTGCAGCTCAGTTGGCAGAGTGTTTGCCTAGAATCAATGAAGCCTTGGAAGTGGTGGAACACGCCTATAATCACAGCAGGAGAACTAGAAGCTGCCGGCTTGGATACTTGAGACCCTATCTTTTGGAAAAGTGACCATCACTGGCTTTTTGGGTTTTCATTCCTTCCTAAGTGCTTCATCATCAACTTAAAAACCTTATTAACAAGCCAGGCAGGAAAAATAAAAAAATAAAAAAATAAAAAACAAGCTGGGCAGGTGGTGGCGCACACCTTTGATCCCAGCACTTGGGAGGCAGAGGCAGGTGGATCTCAGTGAGTTCAAGACAGCCTAGACTGAGTTCCCAGGACAGCCAAGGACAGAAAACAAAAAAACCTTATTTACATGCCAATGTAAACCACTCAAAGCCTCCAGAGCCTCTCCTAGCTCACAAGCATTAAGCTACAGAACCCAAACAAAGCCACAAATTCCTCCTGAATTAGCTTCTCTCTTAACTCTTTTATGGAACAGACCTATATCTAGCCAGGTGCATGGAACATCAAACACTGTCTCCCTCATGCCCCACTTCCACAACAATACCTGTCATTCCTCTGTTGCCT